ATTCTGATAGTAAATCCTGTTTAATTTTTCTAAAAATCTTAGAAATGATAATTAAGATTTTATGTTAGAAGTTGTTGCGTTGGCGTTGCATACCGGGGTTACCCATGTGCGTTAGACAGGTCGGACCCTCGATCTCTTTGCAAATATGAAACGTAAATGAGAGTCCAAATCCAGTAACTTTTATAGAAAATTCATTTTATTGCAAAACCATTGCCAGAAATGGATAATATCACTCGATCTTAGAGTTGCCACCTAATATTTTGAAAAAAATTAGGAAACCCGTGACTCATGTCAAGGCCACTATTTGTTGTAACCAAAGATGTCTCAGTTCGGAACTTTAGATATGAGGGGGGAAGGTCATTAATTAAGCACCCCCGCTTCACCAATCAAAAGATCGGTTCTACTAACCATGATATGAATTATTGACTTTATATGTTCATGTTTCGATTATTCAATAAATGCTAAAATTCACTATGTGAAGCAAACGAGTATAGACTACGTCATTCATTTTGGAATGTTTGATTTGATGTATTTTTGAAAGAGTTTTGATGCACAATTCAAAAGAAATTGAGTTCACAAAAACGAAAATCAATATTATTCCAAATTGAACGACACAACCTCCATCAATCCACTGGCAATTATAGAGATATATCAATTAAACAAGTAGCCACATGGTAGGATGCTTAGACATAGTAAGAAAAACGCTTACAAGCGAGATGCTAAAGCATAAACACTTACATAGTATTTACTGACGCCCTGCGGAAAGCTACAAAACAAAGTTAGCAAAATATGTATGATCCTAGATTTAAGATTTTAATGCAATACATATACAAAAATGCAACTAAAAATTTGGCTATTAATAGATGACATGTGAATCATTTCAAGACATAGGGTAGCGTATAAAATCACATAGAAATTGATCAACCCCACAGATGCAAATGAGTCAAATTTAAATGCATGAAATATGGATGCAAAGTATGAGTATGATATAAAAAAAATATGATGATATTTACAAATATGGAAAGTGAGAAAATAAAAGAGGTAGAAAGACATGGGCTTGGAAGACATACACATTATTACATTTTGCTCTCACGAAGGAGAGTCCAAATGAATAAAGCTAACTAGCAACTAATTAGGGCTAAGCTTATTAAGCTAATCTAATTAAGCTAATTATTACAAACCAAAATAA